ATGCTTCTCACGGTGGATGTATAAACTGATTACACTCGTAGATGCTGACAAGGAAAGAGATAGAACAACACTCGTATGTACATGCATACTTACAAGACAGCAAGAGAATCAACCACCACATCCTAGAATGAAATCTCAACCCCTCATGTCATCTGTATGTCGTAGACCACTATCTTTGAAGTAAGCAGTCCAGATCCCCGTTTCCGTCCGCCTGCCTATCAACATACCACTCACCACCCTCCTCCACAAAAGACTCCCCCTCCTCCTCTTCCCCCACTTACAAACAACCCCTCAGCCCCAAATTCCGCCGCAAGTCTCCTCTCCTCCCCGCTCCCAAAGCCATCCTACAATAGCTGCACAGCACATTCACCAAACCTCCCTCTCCCCCTCCCTCTCCCTCTCCCCAGATCCATATCCATATCCACTCACACAACATACCCACCCCTCTATATTTCGAATCCCAAATATACGAGGATCTTGGTGTTATATTCAAAATACACACTAAACATTTACTCTCTTTGACAAATCGCAATGTTAATTTCGATGTACCTCAGTCTTAACAAATCGAGCATTGACTTTCTGAGCTTTTATTTTTACCTACGTAGTAGGTAGGTGAGTAGGTAGTGTTGGGAAGCTTGAGCGTGTGTACCAATTAACGTAAATCATGTAATGTTATTTTTGCCGAAATTTTGCATATTGGGAAGGCATAGATTAGTGTGCGATGTTTGTCATTATTTACGAGCGGTTATGTGTAGTAGGATGTCAAGTGTTGGGGTGTGGGATTCACACATGTGTGTATAAACTTTATTATTGAATGGGCCTGTGTAAAATGGTATGTATAAGATTCGTATTATTATTATATATTATATTGTGTGTAAAGGTAGATTAAGAAATGAATAGCCTCGGAACGGCGTTCATCTGTCATTGTGAGCATCGAGCAAAGAATTGAGCATCAAGTGACTTGCGAACGACAACGTAGAAATTCCGACAAAGGAACAAACACATGTATCATGCCTTGTGAGAGAGAACAAACAACGATGTTCCCAAATCCCAACATCATCCAACCACACCTATCACCCATCTCTCCAAAAAAAATATTCTCATCTCAAAGACTTTCAGAAAACACGAAGCATCTACTAAAATATTCGTCCAGTTCACATCACACATCAAGTTCCTTTTTGAAACCCAACATAAGCTGTCCCTATCTGGATATTCATCATATAAGCCTTTGAGAATCGAATTCCATCCCCTCCTTCCTATCTTTCTTCTCCATACCCGTGAAGAAATAAAGTTTGCACTAAACTAGCAATCTAGGTATCTAGATGCGGAAGTCGGGTCCCTTGCCCCTCCTTCCTCATCAATTGCTTGTTCTTACTAGCTAGAAAACGAACCGCTGGTTCCTGAGAAAGAAATGAAAAACGTGCAAGAAAAAAAAAAACAAGAAAAAAAACAAGAGAAAGGTGGGGTGAAAAGAATCTTTCTCAACAAACACACCCTTCCCCTCCTTCCGCATCAAACAATTTTCAAAAGCAAAGTGAGCTGTATGTTCTACACGTGTGATTGACACATGCATGCAACCTTCTTTCTGCAGCATACCTTGAACGGTGATTTAACACTCCACTACTCGAGCCCAAATGTGGAATCGGGAGTATGATTCTTTGCAGGAAAATTTCTATGCTGAGATGGATATCGGATATCGTAATCGAATATGTGATTACCATGTCAGCAGTAAAGTATTTTCCCATGTCAGATGAATGGATGTATGTTGAAACTTTAATCCGCTCCGGACGCATTCGCCGTAGATTCGGTGTAAATTCGTGAATTCGGAGTTCGTGATTGCCACAACGCGGTTGTGATGGTGGCTTGCTGAGCTCGAGTCGAGATGACAAGCTTGGTGTTCGAACGTGTGGCTGGCACACGTACCTCTGTATAGACGTTTGTTGGTTGCAGGTGCAGTTGACGTTGTAGGACTACTGGATACTATGAGGGAATAAAATGATAACTGCAGTATCAATTGCAGTTGCAGTGGTAGTTGCATCATCGACAAACGCCAATAACGAATAATGCAATGCACTGCCAAAGTTCCAGCTGGCTGTTCATTCTTTCCTTACCATTTGGTTTCGTACATCGGGTAGTAGTACAGTAGGGCTGCGTGCTGCGTGCTGCATGCATCTCGTTCGTAGCTATGAGCGCTGGTGCGAATCGGACTGGACTGGATGGAACTGGATGGAACTGGGCTCAATTCAATGAACTCATACCAGCAGTTAATCTCATTCCCATGCCGTACGGAGGAACGCCTCCTACGATCGGATCTTCATCCTCGTCTCTATCGTATATTCGTAAGAATTCATTTCTTTACGACGATATAGAACTTGTGCATCGAAAAACATAGATTGATTCCTCTATAGAACAATATACATGATGATATAGTAATAGATAGAAAGATGTATCATCCTCAAAAAACAATCATGACAAGAATTGAAGTAATCAAATAAACAAGAAATGAAGAAATAAAAGAAGTGTCGAAGAGAAAAAAAGATAAGATGATGAAAGAAATTTTCTTTTTTTTTTCTCTTTTCCCTCTCGCTCTTACTCTCTCCACAAAAAGAAGAAAAAAGAAAAGATTTTTTTTTTCTTTCCATTTTGGCACTGTTCATCCAGACTTCCACCGTGGCACCGATGATGCGAGTCATTTAGGGGCTTTTTCTTTTCTTTTTCTTCTTTTCATCATCATTATCATCCATCTACGTAGTAACTCCATTACTCCATAACAATGTCATCAGAACTCCATAAAATTCCCAGATAAATGATAATTCATAAATTATACTCGTACATAGGTATAGGTAATGAATAATAAATCATTCATAAATGACGCCTGGATGGATATAAATTGCGTTCGAGTCAAAAACAATCACCCCCCCCGTCCCCCCAAGAAAAAGGTACAGAGTACAAATAGATTATCTCCCGGCCTACCTACCTAGTAAAGAAAGACCCTGACCCACGCACGGTAATGACTGGCTAAAGTGATATAATATAATAAGCATTTCTTTCCCTTCCTTCTAGAAGATCACTATTAATAGATGGGGGAAAAAGAGTGTGTAGGATGTAGTATGTACGGAGTAAGTAGTGTCTAGACAGTTACTCCGAGGGAGTTGCTTCGAGTAGAATCATATCAGGGGAATACGGGTAAGGCTATAATCATCTTCTTCGGTTTCTTCAAGAGATACCAAGGAGCTAGCTAACCAGCATACACTATTCAAAAAACGCCATCAAAGAAGATTCAATTGTATTACCTTGCCTTACCTGTGCCGTACATACATACATGCATACATACATCCATCCATCCACACATACACATCTACTTGCCCACCAGCCTCCAACTAACCAACTCTTCAAACCCTCATCGCTAGCTAACCCCTGAACATGAATCGAAAACGCAGAGAATCTCCCCAAAAAGCGAAACAGATCTCGTAAATTTATTTAACCTTTCCATAGCTACCTAGGTAATATTAAAAATTTCCATCAGATGACCTTTCTTTCAAGCTTGTAAGTTGTATCAAGCCATTCTCCTACCAAAGCTTCCACGGATTTGGTTCAGGATTCGGACGGAAATCGACATCTGACTCTCATTCCAGCTCACACCGCTACCTAGGAGGTACCTACTCCCAATACTACCAATACTATGAGATTACCTTTTTGGGCTCCGCAATCGGGTTAATGAATGAAAAAAAAAAGTTTACTCTGTAGAGGGTGGGAAAATTAAATTATATGAAAAGTGTGGGTAAGTTAAGCAAAATAGGGGACTGAGATTTATTGGGTCAAAGACCCTTCAAATCCTTCAAAAAATGTGGTTTGATCTTCGAGAATTTCATCATGAATTCCAAGGATTGACGAATGGAATAAGTTTGAAGTGGGTGGCAAATTTACGGGTTGTTGTATATTGTAAGATCAAAAAATGATTTGGTATCCATCAATCATCAGTCAATCATCAGCATGGCATCACTGCCTCCAGTTTTACCCAGTTGAGCCAGTCCACAATTCAAACTATCTCCTTCGTCCCTTCGTATAATGGATCCAAAAAGACTGGGCAGTGTCAATCCGTGTTTTGGATGTCTCGACTCTCAACAGTGGTCTGAACAGTAGTGTTAAATTCGGAATCGCATCAGATTTGTGACTTGTCCAACTAATAAGCTCCACTAGTTTCTCTTGTGATTGCTTGTTCAAAATATTATTTCCCATCTAGAAAATAAACGTGGCCCTCGGATGGCTTCTAGAAGAAACATTAAACTTTTTGGGGAAGTTTCTCAAATCTCAATGCTCAATATGGTCCATAAATAAATGTTTCAATCGTTGCTCGGTACCGGCAGGGGGCTTAATACACCTTGTAAGATAGAAGAAAGGCGGGGATCTTTGGGATCTATGGCTCGAACAGCCAAGTCCTTACTCTTCGCCCAAATTTCCACTCTGATGAGACACCATCAATCAAGAGAAACAAATACACCCACATACAAGCTTTTCAAATCTCCCACACTGATACCATCAAAGTATGAATGGGCAGAGAGAGGAGTGTAAGGAAACCTTTGCCAATTGTCAAAGATCTCGCCACATCTCATCCATCCATCATATTGCATACAGTTTGCAGCAATCGACAATCATGTACCTTGTAGCAATCTGCACCTTGTGGCAATCTGCGTACAAAGCACACCGCTTCATCCTTTCCCACACCATCTGTACGGTTTGTATGGATTCTGAGAGTATCGGAGACAAGTATCCTTCCAAACGGTCAATCATCCCCCACGTCTTTTCGAACTTATCATGCACCGCCATGCCAACCTTCTCCTGCACAACCTAGTCATCATCCTGGACATGCCAACCAGTCTGATGGTCACCCACCGCCGCCACCATGGAAGCATTCCTCTCTGCATTGATGTTCTAGCAAATATCCCGGCACTATAATCCTGGTTCCGGGCACTTCAATAGCGTTTTGAGTGGGACAAACTATGCAAATCAGCACGGACTTTGAAGGGGAGCTACCCTGTAGTGCCCTGATCTGTAAGCTTGGGAGAAAGAAAGCTTCGGGGAGGCGCCGACGGAATTAGAATAGAAGGAGAAAAAATAGTCTTTGGCTTTGCTTTAAAAGGTCTTTGACTCTTCCAAACTTTTATCTTATCTCCCTTTCATATCCCCTTGATTCCAATTTAGAAGACTCAGATTCTTATCATTCTTCCAATCCTCTCTACACTGCTTGTTTTGCCTGACAGCATTTCTGCTTTACATTCATATAGATCCTTTCGTCGACTTTTTGCAAATTATAGACCACTGTTTTTTGTTCGTCACATACATCGATAGATCTTTGAAAGGAAAACCAAGAGCTGGATTCCTACACACACAGTCAGCATTATTTTCTTTCAGTGTTCTCTTTCCTCCTGCAATCTTACCAGTTACAAGAGAAGATAAAAAAAATCATCTCCGGTCCGAGTTTCTTACAGCATAAGCAAGTCCTGGTGTTCATCTGTGAACTCCGAATTCTGTTTTGAGACTTGGACCCTTAATGATAAAGATATCTCTTGTGGGGATTCTAAGAATCACCCATTTGTTCTTGCAGATTCGCATATCAAAAGGGGCAATCTTCAAACGTTCTTTTTTTTCTAACCAGTTAGCAGACTTTTGAAACCTCAGCATACATACATACAGTTGATATTGTTTTTGACTTATCAAATATATAAAAAAGATTTGTTTCCAAAGGTTCGTTCAATATTCTCATCTAAAGAAATTCCTGATATTGGATCTTCCACCCCACACTTGGACCAGGAAGAAACAGGGCAAGGAGAGGAAGAGAAGAGAAGAGTGAATTCAAGAAAACAATGGAATTTGACCAGCTGGCCAATACCTAGTATTCGCTCTTCACTCTTTCTTGACTCCTCAAATCATTGCATCATTCTCTATCAGTCATTGAATAATAAATTTGGGTCTCGGTCATTCGGCTTTACTAGCTTGGTTTTGTAAAAATTACGCTAAGAATTTCTACTTTATTACAGAGCTCCTTCTCGAAACAACTTTTCAAAAACTTCCATACTTTCTTCTACATATACACAACTTCGAAAAAGTCTTCTTCAAGAGACAATCATCCCTTCGTACTTCATATCGTCTTTCAAGTTACTTTAATCATCAACAAAATATACAAATATGTCTGCCATTCGATCTTCCTTCATTCGGGCTGCCGCAAAGGCTGGTCGCAGAACCACTCCCTCCATCATCTCCAGACAAGCTGTTCGAGCTTTCACAACCACTCCACAAGCCAATGACTATGAGGCTATCCACGAGAAGGAGATTCCTGCTACCAAGTTCCAACCTGGTAAGTTCAATCACCATCCCCTAATATCAAAGCTGCATGGAGGTTTCAATACTCCATGTATTTTTGATCCCCAACTTTCAACAATTTTCTTTCAAACAGATTCTCCGGTTGTCAGTCTAATACTGACTTCTGGATGTCATAGGTTCTGGAGCAGAAAGAGTAACAATTCCAGTTGAGGAAGCCGCATTGGCTGCAGCAGCTGCAAAGGAGGCTGTTGACGTTGTCACTCCCCTTACACAAAGCGCATACAAGGGCATGACCCCTACTATGCAAAAGATGAGTTTGATGGGCAAAGTTGTCGTTGTCACTGGGTAAGTTTGCATTTCTTTTCTTTAATATCAGATATATTTTGTTGGGTTCCCGATCTCCAACTAGATCTCAGCTCGCACACAAAATCAATTTTCAACAATAATTTCAAGATTTTGACCCTTATCGGTCTTATCATCTACACTAGTTGTTTGGGATTGATTTAGTTCAAGCAATATCTTGTTTCGAAAGTGAATATTTAGGACTAACACAAAGTTAAAACAGTGGTGCTCGAGGCTTAGGAAACCACATGGCACGTGCATGTGTCGAGGCTGGAGCCAAGGCTCTCGTTATTTTCGATGCCAACCAAGAGTTGGGTGATGCCTCAGCTGCCGAACTTTACGAATTGACCGGAAACAAGATCCCTATCTCCTTCTTCAAGGTTGATGTTCGTGATGCCGATGCGATTGAGTCTGCTGTTGCCAGTGTTGTTGCGGAACATGGTGCTCCAGACGTTCTCATCAACTCTGCAGGTATTGCCGAGTAAGTACATACCATAACAATCTTGCAGAAATTTATATTAACAACAATTCCCAGCTCCAACATCCCTGCCGAGACTTATGACCACAACATGTTCAGACGTCTCATCGATATCAACCTCACTGGATCTTTCCTCATGTCTCAAGCCGTCGGAAAGGCTATGATGGCCGCTGGCAAGCCAGGATCGATCGTTCTCGTCGCCTCTATGTCTGGCTCAGTCGTCAACTACCCACAAGAACAATCTTGCTACAATGCCTCCAAGGCCGGTGTCGTTCAACTCGGAAAATCCCTTGGTGCTGAATGGGCCAAGTACAACGTCCGTGTCAACATGATCTCCCCAGGTTACATGGACACCGCTCTCAACAATGTACCAGCTCTTGATGCTCAAAAGGTCATCTGGAAATCCCTCACCCCACAAAACCGCCTCGGTGCCGTTGATGACCTTAACGGTCTTGCCGTCTTCCTTGCTTCCGATGCTTCCGCATTCATGACCGGATCTAACGTTATCATTGACGGTGGTTACACTTTGTACTAAGCGATAATGAGGAGCTCAATTTCATGAGAGTCCATCAACGTCTGGATACTTCATATCTTGGGTAATACCCAGAAATCTACCTGGTCGTTGGATGGTGCCTCAGGAAAGAGCTTAATGACTTCTGATACCCTTTGCATAAAGATTTCATTTTCCAAAAATCGATATGATGTTTTCTTTGGTGCACGGCATGAAAAAGGATAGCAAACTTCTCTGTAATTACTTTTTTTCTACAAAGTGGGCGACAGAGGGTCTAAAGATTTGTACTAAGGTACTTCGGTTTGGGCTTGGGCAATCTTTGATTTATTCGGCGTTAATAATATAAAGGTTGCATACAATATGATCTACATGATCATGAGTTGAGCGAATGGGCTCGGTTTAGAGGAAGATGTTTTATCACACTTTTAGATAATGTTATGGCTGGCTACATGTAATGGTTACAGCGTAGCATAGCATTAGCAATGATGCGATCAGCAATGCAAATAATAATTACATATTGATGTCTTTGATGTCATACAGTGATCCATGACGTGAATTGTACTTGCCTTTCAACCTGTCAGACTTTCATCCACATATTAGTCCCTGATTACGTCTATGTACCCCCCCCCCTCTGTTCTTTTCCCTCTTCCTTCCATCCCCCCTCCCCCCCACCTTTTCAACTACATGAAGTAATCAGTCAAACCCCCACGCGTTCGATTCATCGCATCTCATCGAATCCCATTCACTAAATCGGCTGCATTAATAACCCTACTCATATATGGCACTCTTCACAACAAGAATCCAGAATCCAGAATCCAGAATCCAGAATCCAGAACTCGTGGCATCCATACACTGATACATACATACCGTCGAATCAGAAAAAAAAGTAAGGAGAGTGATAGATGAATGTACTTCAGATGAACTCTCACTCACTCTTCGTTAGTTGTACTCGGAACCGATGCTTTGATTTGGAAGGATATATGTATACCTACTAGCTCTCTCTATTCGACGAGCTATTCGACGAGGAGAAAGATGATGAGCGGATTGATGGAACGCTCCATCTGTCTATCTCATCACGAAGATCTCGTTTTTCAATGTCTTGGATGAAGTGGTACTTTGAGATTTTATTTCTTCATTTGGTATCTGTGGAAATGTAAATGTAAATGTGGATATTGGTTGATGGATGGATGGATGGATAGGTAGGAAGGTAAATAGATAGATAGGTAGATATCCGGATATCTCTTGCCACTTACCTACAGCGTCTGGGTATGTAAACTCATGTATGTGTGTTTTTCATATCTTTCAAGCTTTTCATTTTTCCTTTGTATCTCATTCATTCATTGAATGTACTTCTTTCTGATATCAGAGCTGCATTCTCGCTTGTTTCTACTTCTACATCTACATCTCCCCATTATGACCTATTACTCCCCACGGCACTACCTCTTCCCCTCATCTCATCTCCTATCTCATATTTCCCATCCCATCCCCTCTTTTCCTCTTTCTTCAGATTCTCAACTTCTAGAGTAATCAATTACTGTAACCACTCAATTTCACCTCTCTCTCTATCCCCTCTCTATTCTCTACTTCTCAAGCTCCCCCTTAATTATTCTATTCTACCATCCCATCTAAATCACACCCTCAAACTCAAACACATCCCAAAACTATTGCTTCCTCACTCCTTCATCCACAATCTCCATCTCCATCTCCACCACAAACCACATCATCCTCCTCATTCTCTCTCATTCCTAAGATCCCCCATATCCTCTCGCTTCCCCTCCCCATCCCCTCATAGCAAACCACCCAATTATTTCTCTTCAAACCACACCCTTCTCCTCCTCTCTTATCCTTTCAACCTTCGATCTACTCCTCTACTCCTCCATCCCAAACACCCCTACTCATAATCCCTACCAACTCGCAATTAATGCAATCTACACTCCCCCATACCATCTCAAACCCATGCATCCAGCTTCTTAACCTCCTTCTCGCTTTTCCGTCCTTTCCTTGCTTCCTAAATAAACAGAATCAAGAAGTATCAATAGGTAGGTATATGCTCACTAACATGACACAATAAACAATGGACAACAAAGAGTCGAGCCTGCCGTCTATTGTGTTCCTTCATTGCCCTTGCCTAGGACTACTGTTATCGGCAAGTCAACGGGTATCTCCACCAAACGTCTGATCTTCACAGGTCACATACAATCACAGACACACGAGAAAACAGATCTTAAGTACTTTTCAGTCAAATGCATTCAAGTAACACCAACTCCCATGATTTTCCCACCAATATCTTTTTACGATACGAAACCTATATGCTCTTACTAACTTCCTTTTTCCATCCGCCCCCATCACCCCCCAAATGCACCCAGAGACCGCCCATAAAAGAAACATTGGCTCCGCATAAAACATGATAAATGCCTGTACCTAAAAATTCTCGTAATGAAACGTGTCAACTGTCTGCATTTCCCATAAATAAACCTCTACAACCAATATCCATACGTATTCCCACCCTTTATCATGCTATCCATCCTCATCTAATATGCAATTAATATCTATCACCACCACGAGCAGGTTTATTCTTTCCCTCAGCAACAGCTTGAAGAATCAACTCCTTAGCCTTCTCAATGCCCTCTTCACTACCAACAACCTCAATTGGGTCAGTTCCCTGTCCACGAGGAACAGTGACGTTGCAGCCAGTGGCCTTACGAATACTGTTAACCTTGCTGCCATTCTTACCAACAATTGATCCATACAAGCTAGGATCAACAAGAGTCAGGTGTCCAACAAAGTTGTTCTTCGATGCTTGTTCAATGGCTTGAGCCAAGATGGACTTAGCTTGCGCAATATTTTCGGTGGAGCCACGCAAAACCCATGGAATGTCACCAGTCTCCCCAGATTCAGACTTGTTAAAGACGAACCATTCCTCAACATCATCAGTTGTATCCTTTTCATCAGTGATCAAAGCGTCCTTAGCGCTAGCTCCTGAGGGTGGTGTGGCTCTTGCTGGCATTTTAGCTCCTGCATGATCAACTGTGACTTGGAGATCATTTCGCAACTTTCGGAAAAATTGGCCATTGTTCGAAATGTCGTGATGGAGTTTTCGTGGAACTTGGACAGTTTCACCTTCTTGGCCTTTAACAAGTTCAAGAATATGGGCCTTTGCCTTTTCGACATCAGCAGGAAGGCCAGTGACGGTGATTCCAGTTTGACCACTACCCTGTCTAGGAATATCGATCGAGACTTTGAAGTTCTTCTCCATGCCCTTTTTCGTCTCACCACCAGCACCGATCAAAGGACGATGCTTGTCGGTTGGAACATCCACAGTTTCAGTTGTTTGGCTGTCTCGTTCCTCAACAA